CTTTATCTCCTCCTTGTACTTTGTGGAACCTAATTTGTTCTTGCTGCTTCTAGCAAGACTGACCTTTAAAAAAAACACAAAGACTGGTTGTGGAGCTAAATGGCCAAATTCAAATAACTCACAAAGCTGGTCTAGAATCTGCCTCCCATATTACAGTTTTTCTGAATTGCTAAAACACAATTCTTGATACCATCACTCATTTTCTCAAAACCTTAAACACAAACACAAACCTTCAAACTAAATTCACCTGACTCTTCTGGTAAAATCAAACAATCGCTTCAAAACCATTTCACCTGTCACAAAAGAAATCACACCTAAGAGAATATACCAAACAAACACACACACACACACACACACACACACAGTGCATATGTGTATGTATATATATATGTAAAAAAGAATCAGAGGACTTCATCTACGTCGCAGGCATGCAACAGGGAAAAAACCCTTCTGGTGTGGCGGATCCAGCCTTGACAAGACAGCACGTTTCTGCCACCACAGGCCAGTTCTTCCACCATAACGTGGTAGTCTTGCAATTCTACAAGATTCTCTTCCACTCTTCTTTTGCTGTTCTTTTGAACTTTCCAACTGATTATGGTGGCCACAGACAATCTGCTCAAGTTAGGTTGAACTCTTTGTCCTGCCTCTGTCATTCTGTGCACAAGAACATGGTCTATCACAGCAGCTCTGATTTCATCTGAAATGACTGTTCTTGATCTTGCTCTTTCTCGTCCTCCTCTTCCTCCACCTTGTATACACACTCTTCCATACCTCTCAGATTGATGGATGCACCCATGCCATCTGTGCACTTTGAACTGGCTTATATTTTGTACATTCACATATTTAGAAACAAGTGTGAACAGTTTTGAATTATTGTGTGTAAATGATGACAACCGTGTTGCAGTTGTGCTTAACTTTTGCTTTCTTGTGTTTAGGGTTTTGCATCACAGTTTATCACAGTGCAAATTGCGTTTCAGTGAGTGAGAATGTGTTTAGAGTTTTGCGAAAAGAGTGCATGAGATCTGCAAACTGTGTCTGAACTGCCTGAACTTGTTTAAGGTTTTGCAGAAAGAGTGATTTATTTGACAAATTGGTTTAGGCTATTGAGAATTTGGTTCAGAGAATGGGATTTAGTGTCTTAGCAAATGCGAAAAACTGTAAAACTTTAGAGTACGATACAATTTAGCACAATAAAAATGAAAATTATTAAACTCATGTTGTTGAATGAATAAATGCACCAGGAAAATGTAATAGTGTATCAAATAGGAATATATAACCTTACAGAGTTGGATTATATAAGTTTGTACAGGTATACGTAACAAGCGCACTGATTCTTGGAAAAGAATACTAAAAGAGTCTCCAAGAAGCAGACAATGCAAAATAAAATTTTCTTACCCAATTCCATTAAACAGAACCAGACTCTTACAGCTCTCAATATCATTGGTCTCAGTTTGTCAGTGCAACCTTTAAGGTGTGCTGCTTATTCAATCAGTGACATTGAGGAATAGTGTGTGTGTGTGTGTGTGTGCGCGCATGTAAAACATGACAACTGCTTAGTGTTTTCCAGCTCACCAACACCACCTACACTCCTCTATGCAAACATACACAAACACATATGAGGGATGCACAATATGTCTCATATAGAGAGATGTTTAATGTATCAGCCCACTTTCTTTATTATTAAATTCAAAGCATTCCACAACACTACAGCAAATCATGAAATATTACATTAAAATTACTTCAATACTTCAAGTAAATATTTTAGATCATAGGAATTCAGCTTGCAGAAAAGTTTGGTAATCCCTGGATTAGATATTATGTTCGGCCTTCAAAATGTTACATATAGTTAAAACCAGGGGCGATTCTAGGATTTTAATTTTAGGGGGGCTCAGCCCCCAGTGAGGGTATAATAATAATAATAGCCTAATAATATATATATATATATATTCTATTTCCCAAACACAACCTCTGGATATGACGCTGAGCACGTGCACTCAACTTCTTTGGTCGACCATGGCGAGGCCTGTTCTGAGTGGAACCTGTCCTGTTAAACCGCTGTATGGTCTTGGCCACCGTGCTGTAGCTCAGTTTCAGGGTCTTGGCAATCTTCTTATAGCCTACGCCATCTTTATGTAGAGCAACAATTCTTTTTTTCAGATCCTCAGAGAGTTCTTTGCCATGAGGTGCCATGTTGAACTTCCAGTGACCAGTATGAGAGAGTGAGAGCGATAACACCAAATTTAACACACCTGCTCCCCATTCACACCTGAGACCTTGTAACACTAATGAGTCACATGACACCGGGGATAGAAATGGCTAATTGGGCCCAATTTGGACATTTTCACTTAGGGGTGTACTCACTTTTGTGGCCAGCGATTTGGACATTAATGGCTGTGTGTTGAGTTCTTTTGAGGGAACAGCAAATTTACACTGTTATACAAGCTGTACACTCACTACTTTACATTTGAGCAAAGTGTCATTTCTTCAGTGTCACATGAAAGGATATAATAAAATATTTACAAAAATGTGAGGGGTGTACTCACTTGTGTGAGATACTGTATATGGATTAAAAAGAAAACAAAATGCTGAGACGCTTTCAAAACATTTTCTTTTGTGTTCCACAGAGGTCAGAAAGAAGTTTTGTAATGACATGAGGGTGATTAAAATGGACGAACTGTCCCTTTAAGAAAATAACACATACAGCTTCACAAGAGGCCTCCCATGCATGACAGCTTTACCCAGATCTGAGCTCTGTGGGTGGGGTGAACTGGAGCACAGATCACGAGGCCACTGCACTACACAGCCAGATAATTGCGTTCTGACTCCAGCACATGCAGGGCTAACGATCTACAACTGGCCAGACATCTTAATTAGAGCCTCTGTGTGTGTGCGTGAGACATTGTAAATGAGCGAGCATCGACCAGTTCTTTCCACGCAAGGAGAATGTCACTCCAATGGCAAGATCACAATGTCCTCTGTGTCACTCACAAAGACCTCCCACACACACACACACACACCCAAACATATACACAGAATCTGTAATATATATTAACCCATCATTAGCATGTGAAAAATGTATACTAACCTCAAAACAACAAGTTCATATTTATTGCATTGTTTTCTCAGTAACAATTTACATTAAGGTTCCCTTTGCAAAGGGTTTATAAAGGTGTTTATAGATGAGATAACTCATTTACAAATGCATTATAAATTATTGATAAGCAGTTGGTGAAATAGGTATGAATAAATATATTTATTAAGCATTTATAACATGTAAGTTAAAAATGGCTCACTATTTGGCAGGTATTGCAATAAAATCACCCTTTTTATTCATGCATTTATAACTGCTTATCAATGATTTATAATGCATTTATAAATGAGTTATTAGTCATTTATAAACACCTTTATAAAGCCTTTACAAACGGAACCTTAATGTAACTGTTTTCTCTAGCATTTTCTACTCAACATATCATGCTCTGATTTCTCCCTGCCTCACTCCATCCATCTCTTCATCAGTCAGAACCTCAGAGACTTTGAGTCAGGGTGAATATCAATCAATGGAAGGGCGTGTTTGCTTCTGGGTTGCCTCAACCCACACACACATACAGATGCGTTTACTGAAAAATTGATGACTGAAAAAAAAAACGAGTTTAAAAAAAGTGAACAGGGATGAGAGTGAGACTGGAAAACAACTCGTACCACCACATTTTATCTGCTTCTTTTATATTACATATACAGGAATGAACGCTTTTTTGGGAAAACATATAATCAGATACTCACACATGCCTAGAGTCACTGATACACCTACTTTATTTTCATGTAGACCTGAACGTAAGTAATTGGTTTTCTTTTGGTCGTTCAGACAGACTGTGATTGTTGAGGCCACGGTGGGTATTTTTATGCTATTCAAAAATATCCCTTAAACAGCATCAGAAGGGAGAGGTTGGACAATTACCTCTATGTTTTCCCTCTCTGTGCTTGTGTGGGTTTCTTTGTATTTCTGTCTGGCTTCTACTTGTACTCAGTAATTCAGCATGACTGCAGTCAATAATTCAACCTCTGATTGAACACTGGAGAACTAGGCGAGTGAAAAATAACAAGAAATGGAAAATGAGTGATAGAGTTTTATCTATCTATCTATCTATCTATCTATCTATCTATCTATCTATCTATCTAGCTAGCTAGCTATCCAACCCCGCCTCACTCTAGAATTCTAAACAGAAACAAGTTTATGTCATTTGTTGACAGACTCACTTAGACTACAAATTGCTTACTCAATGACCCCTTGTAAGATGAAAGTAAACCTCTTTTGTTCTGCTCTCTTTTATTATGTAACAGATGTGCCGAAGACACTGAACTGTGGGTCCATCTTTCAGCAATGACTGCTGATTACATAATGCAACTGCAGGTGCAGTCTGGGTTCACAAATGATACACTCGTCACAGAATACAAACACATGAACGAAGTTCTGTTTCAGTTCTTTTACTTTTTAATGTCTATTCATTTTTAAAGAGGGGCTGTGTTGTGCATTACATCATTAGTTTTAGGACTTTATAGGCAATCAGATTCAAATAAAAAGAAGAAAATGAATTTTATTTGAACTGTGATAAATGTGATAAATGAAGTGATAATGTGAAGTGATAAATGAAAAAATAAATTAAGACATTAACACCAATATGCTCTTTCACGCTGCAATTGCTCGCAATACAGAACAACTCTTAACAAATGCACACACACACAAAAAAACACAAGGGTAACAGAACTGTGAATGACTCAGGGAAATACAAAAGATGCTACAAATGAACTTTTTCCATCTCTAGATTAGTCTCAAAGTCTAGATTAGTCAGCGTTTAGTCTGAAATTCAATAGTGGCTGCATGGTTTTGATTGGCAACATGTGGATTTTTGAAAAAAACAGCACAGCAGCCTGGAGGCCTAAAACAGCATATCATCAGTGTCCTGCTGGATTGCACTAGAGAAATACAACAATTACATACTCACATGCAGGGTAAGAGACGGCTACACTACAGTACATAACATTCAAGTCATACTAATAAAATGTCCCAGTTTTGAATGTAAAGTCAGGGGTTTGTATTAGAATGACACAGCCTGCACAAAATATTGTTTTCACAGAAATGCATGATAAAATTACTTACACTAACAAAATATATGCTACATGACAATTTTCAAAATAAGTGCTAAACTATCAATTCTTAAATGACTAACTTTTTCACAAATATGTGTATTATGTCCTTTTGTAACACATGAAAATGACTGATTTCATGGTTCAGAGGGATGTGTGAGTTTACACATTTAAACACCATGTCTTTTGTAACAAGCATGGCTTTCTTTCTTTTGTGGAATAAAAAAGGATCCATAGAATTAAAGATAATAGTGACCATGGTTGTCAAGTGCAATTTTCAAGGCAAAAAATAATTTCACATAATGCTATCAAATGGCCTTATGTGAAACATGGCCTTATGAGAACATGTGGAATATGCATGAATTGTCTGATTTTATGAGGCTTTACTGATGCTTTTCTGGTGCTTTTTAGAGATTGACAAGTCCTAGTTCCCAGCACATCCTTTGTGAAGAGAGCATCAATATCTGATATTGACATTTTCTGCCCATCTTTTGAATCAGAAGAAAGAAAATGATATAGGTTTGAATCTACATGAATATCAATAAATGATGACATAATTTTCATTTTTGGTGAACTCTCTATTTATCTCTCTCTCTTATCTCTTTCTCTCTTTCCCTTTGTTCTCTCTCCTAGATAAATACTTCCCACTGCAGCTGGCTGAGTGCTGTTTGCGTGGGATCTCACGTGTGATTCTGCTAAACAACCCCCTGAGTGGAGCTCTGATTCTGGCCGCATTGCTGCTGGAGAGCCCCTGGCAGGCTCTTCTGTGGATGCTCGGCCTTCTGTGGATGCTCGGCAGATTTAATTGGTAGTGCAGTTTGCTATTAACAAACAAAAAAGAACCGGCTCGAGAGCCATTCTTCGGGAGTTAGACTACAGTGGTCGTGTCGAAAACTTCATTTGTTCTCCATTTAATCTTATTGCATACACACATACAGATACACACACATACACAAAGAAAACATTGTCATGCACACAGAAAACACATATACAGTAGCTGTTTCTGCATCTAAGGTTGCATCAAAGAAGTGTGGTGAAAAGCACATTTTATCTAAGCATAAGACAGACATGGCTAGAAGAGAAGCTCATGTTGATTCCAGTCTCACATGTGATCCTAACCTGCATGTGTGTCTGCAGTGAGGAGGTCTCCAGTGGCCTTCACGGTTTTAATGGAATGCTGGTTGCTCTGCTGATGGGACTGTTCAGCTCTGCTGGAGATTGGTACTGGTGGCTTCTGCTGCCTGTGTGTCTTGGTGGAGTTGCAACTTAAGATACACACAAGCCAATTAATTGATACCAAACACATTATTCTGTCATTTTCTGCCACATTCACAAGAACAAACACAAAATAATTGCTGACTCACTCAAATCCAAACAACCTTTTTCTCACCTGTCTTAGAGCTTTTCTTTACAGCAGTTTGGCTTCGTTTTTGGGCCGCTGGGATTTACCAGTGAGCGTCTTCCCCTTTAACACAGTCACCCTGCTGTATCTGGCCTGTACTGGCACTTCAAACCCCTATTTTCCAAACTATCCTGCACAGCCAACAGGGGCGCCAGAGAGCACCAACCACACCCAACTCCATGTTCCACAGGTGAGAGGATGAAACAGAATGGCAGAGAAAATAATGAACATGAAAGAGAACAAAACTCAAATTACTTGCCCCTCATGCAATATCTATCCTGTCATGTTATTGATTAGGTTTTATTGTATTGTCCCTCTCGCTCTCCCTCTCATTCCCCATAGCTCTGTCTTTTTATTTGTCATCTTCCTGTTTAGCCTCTTGAACTTCCTTTATCTTCACACACAATGGTCTATTCCTTCTTCCATCTATCTTCATCATCCTTCCATTTCACATCTCTCCTGTATTTGTATGTATTTTATGTGTGATACATTTTTTTGAGGATCAATATTTATAGAATTTTATTGATGCGAAATGGTTTAAATTCAAATAGTCACTGTCATAGTTAAAAACGGAATTCGAACAACTGAAATTGGAAGAGCACATATTGTATGTGTATATATAGAGAGGGGGGGGGTGTTTTTCATATTTGAGAAGAGATACTAACATGTTGCTGTTCAACAGACTTTTTTTTCTAAATACTTGAATATAAAAAAAACAACATTGCTGTTGTAGTAAAATGTAGTAAATTATGTGTCTTACACATATTAAATGGCTGTAAAAATAGGGAGGGTGAGCAGTGTTTCACAGCATATCTGATCTTTGAAGTTAAAAAGCAAGATGGGAAGGCTTTGAAGTGTATGTCGGGTTTTAGAGCTAGAGTTTGATGAGTCAGGCTTGAAGTCCTCATAAATCACATGTAAACACTCCAGTGCTTTTTTCTCTTTCCTTTCTTCCCCTTTGTAGGTCAGGGGACCGAAGTGCTGTTACCCTTTCCTGATATCCAGATATAGTGCTTTAAATCATGAGATATGTGTGTGTGTGTGTGTGTGTGTGTGCTTAGATGCATTTTATTGTTTATTGCGTATTTATTGCATTACTCTGGTCTGTTGAATGACATTAGGGTGCATTGGGCTGATCCACTTTCTTTGACAGTATAGCAACTGACTGTTATGGGCTGCTTATAGCTTACATATTTATGCACTATATAGTCAAGTCAAGTCAATTCACCTTTATTTATATAGCGCTTTTAACAATACAGATTGTGTCAAAGCAACTGAACAGCATTAATTAGGAAAATTGTGTGTCAATGATGCAAAATGACAATAGTTTTTTTTATATATATAGTATAAATATATATATATATATATTTTTTTTAAATATATATATATATATAGTATCTGTGCTTTTCCCATGTCTCCATGGAGACAGCTTGATCCGGTAATGACGGGTGCACAGGGCTAAAAGAGATAATGGAAAATAATTTTTATGTTTATATTGTATCTGTTTTTATCGCTCACTGTCATGAATATTCAATGTGAAAGCAGCACAGTTAAAAGCACATTAAAATTGGCTTTTAAAATTAGATCATATTATATCTAGCTTGAGTCATCAAATGATTCATGCACAACATTATAACATGGGTATAATAGCAGTATTAATATATATCAGTCAATGTGCACGATTTTAATTTATATGCTTATGTACTTGACAAAAACAATCTTTTAACATAATTTCATAGAATTAAAGTAATGGCTATAACAGTTGATATGTCATCAGTTTCCTGTTTCAATAGGAAATACATCAGAGCAGGAAAGAAAAACATTTTATAGGGTCTTTAAGATAAGCTAACATAGATAATAAAATGATACACTACCACTCAAAATCTTGGGCAGAGTATGATTTTTTTTTTAATTTATTAATACTTTTATTCAGCAAGGATGATTTAAATGGATCAAAAGACATTTATAATGTCACAAAATATTTCTATTTCAAATAAATGCTGTTCTTTAACTTTCTATTTATCACAAAATCCAGATTTTTTAATCAAAAAATTGTATGTTTTTGAAAGAAGTTTCACCAAATGCTGCATTTAATTGACCAAAAATACTGTAAAAACTGAAATACTGTGAAATACTATTACAATTTAAAATAAAAAATAACTGTTTTCTGTTTTAATATATTTTTTAAATGTAATTTATTCATGTGATGGCAAAAGAAAATATTAAGCAGCACAGTTGTTTTCAATATTGACAATAAAAATAATGTTTCTTGAGCAGCAAGTCAGCATATTAGAATGAAAATATAGCTCTATCACAGGAATAAATTACATTAAAAAAAATATTAAAATAGAAAACAGTTATTTGAAATTGTTATATTTACAATATTGTTTTTATATTGGTCAAATAAATGCAGCCTTGGTGAGCATAAGTGACTTCTTTCAAAAGCATTAAAATCTTACTGAATCAAAACTTTTAAATGGTATATAAATATTATATGCATATATAAAAATATATTTTGTCTAAAATAATACCTTCAGAGAAGACATCGGTAATGTATTGTAAAACAAGCATCATCTGATGGTGTGTTTGCTCCTGTTTCCCATCAGCTCCTGCAGGGGGCGTTGTTGGGCGTAGGGCAGATCTTTGCATGTGTGACTCTAGGCCCATCTCTGCTCATCCTGGGTGCTGTTTTCCTCTTTTCACCCATTCTGGCTGTCTCTGCCATTAGCATTATGGCAGGTAAATCAGAAATTAAAAGCAAATATCAGCAGAACAGTGTTTTGCAGAAATAATATCTCAAAAGTTTCACCTAGACCCCAACGAGATTGAATGGAGACCAAACAGAAATCTGATTTAACAAGTAACCTGTAATGTGGTGTTTTGGGTTGTGTTTCTTGTTCATGTTTTCATGTCTTTGATTGTAGTTTGGTCCCCGTTTGTGTCATGCTTCCCTTGCCCTCTTGTATTCTTGCCATTGGTTCTCTTGTTCATTGTGTCATGTTCTGATTGGTTGTCTTAGTCATGTGTCTTGTTTCCTATTGGTTTGTTCATGTCATGTGACCCTCTTGTCTGATATAAGTAGCCATCATGTTCCCATAGTCTTCGTCGTGTATTGATGTTGTAACCTGCTGTCGGTGAGTCTAGGCTGTTCATGCCACGTCAAGTCTGTTCATGTCAAGTCAAGTCAAGTCTGGTAATGCCTCGTCAAATCAAGTCTGTTCATGTCAAGTCAAGTCTGTTCATGCCTCGTCAAGTCTGTGTATCTTGTTTGGATATTGTTTGGATGTTTGGATCACTCTGTAAATAAACTGCACTTGGGTTCTTCACTACACTTGCCTTCAGTGGACTGAATCGTTACATAACCAAAGTCAATTATAAGTCAAAGATCTAAATATGAACTCAAAGATTTCTCATAAAAATTTCCAAGACCACATTATCTGAAAAATGCCATCCACATTCATTTTAAAGCTCTATTCTGTATCTGTAAGCTGACAATTGTCTCATTTTTTTCTAATTTCATTTCAAAATTGTTACTTAAACATAATATGAGGATGCTTTTGAGCTATGAAAGAGACACATCTGAGCAATATAAAGTAAATTCTTTTTTTGGAGCATCTGCATGATGGTTTGGAAGGATGTGGGATAGAGATACATGCATGAACAGAATGAATCAAACATTTTTGTGTAAATCTTGGGTTCTCTAGGCCTTTGTGCTGGCTGTGTAGCTGTGATTTACTCAACTAAAGCAGCCTGCAAACAGATTTCCTCAAATGCCCACTATGCAGAAGATGATTATTTGCACCCGCCACGAGATAATTGGCCAGTTTTACAGTTGCGTTTACCACCTCAAGACCATGGAAGGTGTTTTTACCCTTTCACTCATTCACTCTCTCGTATACACAGACACAGTCTTTCTTTCTCTTTTATATTTTATACACAGAGACATATGAGTCATCGCAGACACAAAGATACTACAGAGGTTGAATAGACTGTGTGTGTGTGTGTGTGTGTGTGTGGAGTAGGTAGAAGAGACTGATGTAAGGTACCTCATCCCCAGCACAACACCCACAAACATAATACACACCGTTTCATTTCATCCCCTGCAGTGTGATTCACACTCACAAACTTCAAAGCTCTCATGTAATATTCCATAAAGGAGCAGGAAGAGTCGTTGGGCTTATCAGGGACTCTGTGTATGTGAGACAGCTGTCTCTTATTCCCTGTAGTAGTTGATTTTAGAAAGGAAAAAAACCCTTTTCTGGCGTGTTCCTTCTCTCTTACCCTGTCTGTGTGTCAGCAGAACATTTAAATTTCATTTGGAATGGGTTCAGATTGCTAGAGGTTTGAACTGTAGAAGACAGATGGAGAGAAGGAGAGGAAGCAGTGCTGGATTACGGATGGGGCCAATGGAGCCAGTGCCTCAGACTGTTAGGGGCCTCTAAAGTCTCAGGCCGCACATTCTGAGACTGATAAAGGAAGCTGAACATCAGGGCCCTCGGTGCATACACTGCTGTTCAAAATCTGGGATCTGAATTATTTTATTTTTATTTATTTATTTATATTTGATTGATTGATTGATTGATTGATTGATTGATTGATTGAGAGAAATTAATACTTTCATTCAGTAAGGATGCTTTACATTGATCAAAAGGCATTTATGATGCTATGAAATATTTCTATTTCAAATTAATACTGTTTTTTAACATTTCATTTATCAAAGAATCCTGATAAAAATGTATCATGGTTTCCAAAAATATTAAGCAGCACAACTGTTATGATCATGAGAAATGTTTCATGAGCAGCAAATCAGAATGATTCGAATAATCATGTGACACTGAAGACTGAGGTAATGGATGCTGAAAATTCAGTTTTGCCATCACAGGAATTAATTACATACATTTGTTTTTACTGTATTTTTGATCAAATAAATGCAGCCTTAGTGAGCATAAAAGACTTTTTTTTAAATGTTTTTGAAAGAAAAAAAACCCCCAAACAGTAGTGTACAGTGACAGACCTGTACCCACCACAGGCCTCTCTCACATTCAAAGTTTACTTCTCTAGAGAAAAAGTACTGTTGAATTTCTTTACATTTCAATTAATTAGATTTCAATTTCTGTATCCTGTATGCTACCTGCAAATTCAAGAATTGGAATTAAAAGACGTTCTCAATTAATTTCTGAATGCGCATGGATCTTCTTATTTTATTTGGGCAAAATCATACTTTTTCATAAGTGGTATAATATGGGCAGCAGGGGGTGGGGACATGGGGGGTAGACATGTGCCAACGGGCCTTGTGGGAACCATGATCCCGCCCTGAATGTAAGACTTCCCAAAGATATGAAGACTGTCCCTCACACACACACACACACACACACACTCTAAACATCCTCACCATCTAATCAATACCACTCTTATTCCTCCACTCATCTTACCATCCCATTCTCCTCTTTTTTATTGATTAATAGTTCACTCTTTTCTCCCTGGTGTAGAATCTCTCTTACTACAGTATGAAATTACATCTGTATTTTACCAGACAGAAGCCTACAGAGAAATAGAAATAGAAATAGAAATAGAGTTCTTCACCACTAGGATCAAGCTGCTGTGCTGTATTTGCTGTGCAGGTGATGTGTTTGCTGGTCTGATATCCTAAATAATGTTGAGCATGTGATTGTCCACCTCGTGAGCTGAAACTAAATATTATTTAAGCTGTTTTATTTACTATTTATTTATATGAGGTTTATAATTGTTTATACATTTGTATAATTTTGTAAACCTTCTTACCAGAATTTGGCTCTAAATAAAGCTTACATATATTTCCTTAATATGTTCTAGTAATAAACAAAGTAAAAACATAATTATAAATTAAAGTCACGTTTTCTGGGACAAGCCAAATCTGTTTACCATATTATACTCATAAGGACTGTATGAACAGGTGAGCTCGTAACCTTTGGATTGACTGAAACATGAAAAATAGTTTCTGTATGACAGGTAGTTGAGGAGTTGAAATGGAATAACTGATGTATCATTCACAATTAGAGAACATTAAGTGCCATCACTTCAAAGAATATGATGCTTGAACCTATTGGCAGCAGACTTGATCAAACTTTCAGCTGTTAGAGGGAATGATGGGGTGTTTTATATCATATGTGATGTCACTTCCTTTTGTACCGTACATAAAAACCTCTAATCTAAATCTAATCTACAACAAATTAAGTCTACTATTAATTCTTAAGACCCTCCACAGCAAACATATTAAGTTTAGTGGTTTGGTTTCATTTTAGGAAGAGTCGTAAGAAAGTCCAACAGACTAAGTGGTTTATATGTCTGTTTGTCTAGAGATTTCACTAAATCGAAACTGAATAGGGACTCTTAATCCTGTCCCGCAGCATGAGGTGTGGTGCACTGATAATGAGATCTGGTGTTTAGCAGACAGGCTGTTCATTCTGTCCTCTCTACATGACTCATAGTATAAACCCACTAGCTAAAGTTAGCACGGGTTCACAACTGATGATCCTGCACACACATATGCACAAAAAAGAACCCGTAACCGTGGTGATATTGAAACTAGGAATATAATGAATCTATTCTGGGTCACAGATGTTGAATATAGGTTATAGAATTGCATAGATAGCATATTATCAGTACATTGTAAGCGTTATATAACCGGATCAGAGATAAGTAATGGAAACACCAGAAAAAATATTGCATGCTTTGAGATTCACAGCATTTGCATTGGAAATGAAGAGCCGATTTCCTGCTGCACTCAAGATTGTGTTTGTGTGTGTGTGTGTGTGAGTGTGTGTGCTTGAGAAGGAATCTTTTAAATCTATTCTTCAAATCTCAAATTATTTCAGTGACACTCTAATCATAAAACATCACAGTAGAAATATAAATTTTCCACACAACACAATCGGTTTTATAATTAGTATGTCGCCTACGGATGTTTACCAATTTGTAACAGCTTGAATGTACAACCATGCAAACTGATTCATGTGATGAAAAAACAACAACATTTGTTTATAAAAAGGAAACAAATATCTGAGAGAACGAGAGTGAACAGACGGTATGAGCCTCCTGGGTGACATTGCTTTCCTGTTCAGACAGGAAAGAGATTTCTGGGTGTGTCCTTCTGCTGATGCTAGGTTTTCATCTCAGTGCGCTTTTATCGGCAGTCCTTTTACTGGGAGTCCTTCAGTATAAAACAATGAAAAGAGTCCCAGAAGTACAGTCAGAAGGATGCATTCGAATGTTTCGCACTGGAGCTCATTCTGCCTTCGGTGTCTCTGCATACATAAGTTGGCCTTTTCCATGAACAGGGTACAAAATAGGGACTAAAATTGTTTTAAATGCTTTCAAAATATATATATTTTTATTAAGCAATTTTTCTTTTTTAACAAAAAGAAATATTTCATTAACCTGAAACAAAAGAATACACACATTACACACACACACACACTTCATTCATTTTATACACTGCCGTTCAAAAGTTTTGGGTTGTAAGATTCTTTAATGTTTTTGAAAGAAGTCTCTTATGCTCACCAGGACTGCATTTATTTGTGCAAAAATACAGTGAAAACAGTAATATTGTGAAATATTAATACAATTTAAAAATAACTTTTCTATTTGAATATATTTTAAAATATAATTTATTCCTATGATAGAGCTATATTTTCAGCAGCCATTACTCCAGTCTTCAGTGTCACATGATCCTTCAGAAATCATTCTAATATGCTGATTTGCTGTTCAAGAAACATTTCTTATTATTATCGATGTTGAAAACAGTTGTTCTGCCTAATATTTTTGTGAAAGCAATAATTTTTCAGGATTCTTTGATGAATAGTAAGTTCAAAAGAACAGCATTTATTTCAGCATTATAAATGTCTTTTCGGTCACTTTTGATCAATTTAAAGTGTCCTTGCTGAAATAGATAGTATTCACACACACACAAAACAAAATGCTTTAGAAAAGTAATGATCCAGTCTATACCCCATTCATTGAAATGTGCCAGTTCTGTATAGCTGCACAATGGTCAGGAAAAACGAATGAGCAAGAAGCTCTTGAGGCCCAATCCATGTTCTGAAGGCTGCTGTACAAATAAAACAGGGTAAATTGAGGGGAAGGTGAACACGGCTTTCTTTGAAGGTGAACTGCTGAATGACAGAGTACTTGCGTTTTAATCTTCTGTCAGAGAGAATTGGGTGAAACTTGCTTGTTCAGTATGTGGATCCAGACAGAAAAACCATATGGAAAAGGGTGCTAAAATTGCTCATGACATATATAAGCAAATTTATTTTACCAAAATAATACTGCTGAATAACAGAACATATATTCCAAAGCCTTGCCTGCTTAATTAGACAAAGAAGTTATCAAATGTGAGCATGCGGCCATGCAAATATCATAGGCTATATCATATACCGTAAGAGGCGTGTTCTTGAGTTTTATCGAACCGATTTGTGCTGTGAAAAAATGCAAAAAGAGATAGAAGAGAAAGACGACGTGCTACAATACAAGAAAGCTCAATGAATATACATTGCCACCTTCAGGTCACAATCAGAACTACAATCAAGAACCCAAGCCCATTTAAATACATTTGTGTACAGCAGATATCAAAAATTATTTCACAAAATACTCTAAAAATTCAAAACTGACCCATCAAGAGGACGAAGTACGTCATATAAGACACATAATACCTTCTTTATGCAATGAAGCGTAATACAGTTTGATACCTTTATTGTTGCACATTACTTACAGGTTCACATAAAATAGGCAATACAGTCCATACTATGCAGTACACAGTTAGCAGTATGCTAGTATTTCAGTCTGAACACAACCATGGTAAGGGAGTCAAAATACCTGAAGAGAGCTATGCGGTAGCATTCCTATTCCTATCCGTCTCACTGGCAGTTGCTCAGACAGCAGCACATGCAGTCCCGGAGAATGTGATGCTGTCATAGTCACTCACTGGCCACTCTGTTCCAGAGACAAACTAGTTTTAGCCTATCACTAGAGCCATAGATGGCATTTTGCTTGCATAATAGTGAAGTAGGCCACAGCTCTACCAGCAGGGGCTAATTGCTGAAGCTAACCAGACAAACCTTAGTCCCCCTTCCTAAATGCCTGATCAGGAATTTAGTGTCATCACAACAGCATATTCTAGCTAATCTAAAAGAGCTTTCGGCATATTTAGATATAGCCTAAGTATTTAGATTAAGATTATATTTAGATTAAGTTTGCATTATGCTAATTTTTTAGTTCTGCAAGGGAACGTCGCTTTATTGTGCCATCCCAAAGAGGCACAAAAGCACTTTCACAGACTTTTAAATTAAATGTTCCCTCCTGGTGGGATGACCTGCCCAACTCAATCGGAGCAGCTGAGTCCTTATCCATCTTCAAGAATTGTCTAAAAACACATCTCTTCCATCTTTATTTGACCCTCTCTCTATTCTAATTCTATTCTTTTTTTTAAAAAACATGCCCCTTTTAGACTTGCACTCTATTAATTTACTACTAATACTACTACTAATTTAATTTCTTACACTAGCTTCTCTAATCGTTTTGTATTCTATTTGTTTTCTTTTTATTATACAATTAACAAAAGCAAAAAAAAAAGCCCTCTAACACTAGCTTACTCTATTCTTTTTCAATTTTATCTGTTTTCTTTTTTATTTATTATAAAATAAAATTTAAAAAAACTTGCTACGTGACTGCGTTAAACTGAGACTTGTTATAGCACTTACATATCATTGCTCTTTTGTTGATTTTGATTGCTTCCATTGTCCTCATTTGTAAGTGGCTTTGGATAAAAGTGTCTGCTAAATTACTAAATATAAATGTAAGCCAAATTCTTAGCTTGCTAACTAAGACTAGGCATACTGCAAACACAAAGAGTATTTCTGTAGGCTAACCTGGAAGTGAGCACAACTTTTATGAATTTGATGTCTAAATACAATCACCAGAAGTAAAAACTTAAACATACATAGGCTATAAACAAACTACACCATTGTCACATGACTTCAACATCACCACCATTAACGCTTTCAGTCTTTATTTTAAAACATTTCCCTGAAGGTTTGAGTGGGAATAGTAAGAAAAAATGCAATTATAAACACAAGGCTGTAAAAATTGTCCAAGACAACCTCTGTAGTCCCATTTAGCCATTTGTTAGTAACGTCTTTTTCAGGACAAATAAAAGCTTGCAAGATGTAGGCTACGTCTGCAAAGCTTAATCTAGAAAAAGCATGCTGTGTACAAATATGATAGTCATCTCTAAGATGTTAGTTTTACATACATTCTAAATCATAAACATCTAAAAGACATTTTTTAAACGTCTGATAGAAAACGTCCTATAGATGTATTGCAGACGTAAATGCATATTTTAAGATGTGTTCTGGTGTAGAACCAAACTTTATTTATCTTAATTTAATGCTGTGTATAATGAGCAGCGGTAAGTAATTTCGTAATTAATTTCTTTTATATCAGAAATGACTAAGGATTTGGAAATTAATTTAATGTAAATGCTTATGGACCATACATACACATAAACAAAAAGGAGACCAAAACTGAAAAAGGAAAAGTTTTAATGATGCTGTAAACACATTTTATTCCCTTATTACAAAAACTGCAGTTGTACTGTACCATAAACTTTAAAAACATTAAATGCAAACAATTTAACATTAAATATTACTAAGCTGAGACCTTTCAGTGTACATATCACAATTCCAACATTAAAACCTGCAGAAATAGTGAAAGTGCTCTAGAATTGATGAAAAGTAAATTTAGCATGCAAAATCAAATGTCTTTTACCATAATTGTACAAAAACTATAGCAAATAATCTCAAATCAATGAGATTATCTCAAATGATATCAAATCAATGGTGCAAAAAAGCAGATTTAATTTATTACGTTTCTTTTATGATTGCCATGGTGATTAAAAAAGGCTATTAGTTAAAGATCAGAAGGCATATTATTGAATGTGTGGACAGACGTGCATACAGTGAGTGTGTATGTGTGTGTGAAGACTAGAGCTAATAGTAATTTAGCCTCTCAGTAGATTTGTCAGTATGTGTGAGAGAAAAAGAGAGTTCATTCAAAGAAAGAGCTATAAAAAGCCTTGCAAGATGCACCATGATTCATTAATCTTGTAACAGGCCTAGTGGAGGTCAGGGCCCCTTCAGCACAATGGAGGAGCTATTACGTGACAATATTCAGGAGTCTGCTTTGTGAGCCTGTCCATGGCTGGCTAGGGGAAGTTTGTGTGTGTGTGTGTGTGCTGAATACAAAAGAGAAACATTGTGCTTTGTGCTCCTACAGCCATCCGTAGCTGCAACACAGACACTCTCAATAAAAAAACAGCAAGTTTTATTGTCCCCAAAAGCACAGCCAAAGGTTTATGTGAATCAGTAAAAGAACTCCAAATGCATGATGCAGTGAGAAAGCAAACTGAATGCTGATTAATACAGAGTAAATGCTGTAAACACGTGATCACTATTAAGTCATTTTGTCCCTAATGTTTTGTCACAACCTCAGCTTTGACCATGAAGCCTCAAGGCCTGTTCGCACCAAGTCCAATGTGACTGAATGTCATAAAAGTATAAATTAATCACAAAAAGTGCCTACAGACAATCTCTGATAGTCCCACAACTACTCTCAGTGTAAACACATACAGTATACCTACATTTCACTGAAGCCCCCGTCCTATTGTCCAACATCATAGTTTGTTTTCTAACTATAACCCCAGCTCCAGCCTCAAACATGGCAACATGTTCATCTAAAATCAGATTTTTTCCCCCACTGGATCCTGTGTATTTTGGCTTTTTGCTTATAACAGCCTCCCCAAAACTACGCCCTCTCTAGGCCGTGCTTCTCCACAGAGGATCTCCAGAAATCCCAGCTTTGTCAGAAATTCTATCCGTAATCCATCTGTAGGCTGGACCTCGCAAAATACACCCTGTGAACCTGAGGAAGAAAGAGAAATGACATATTCAAGGCCAACATCAAGGATACTATCAGCCAGTCTGAAAATATGCTTAAAATTACAATCACCGTTAGCTTTGAGGGCCATTAGCAGGGCTGTGAGGAGGCTACGACTGACACTACAGTCCACCAGTTCAGGAAGAGCCTCAAGCTTGAGCTGAGATGGGAAATTATACAGCAGGGAGTTTGGATAGTCCTGTTCTTCATGGAAATACAGCAGCGCCTCCTAGATGATTGGAGGAGAAAGTGCAATTTAAGCCATGTCAGGATTAGATGTTACTATAGCCCCATTTTAAAAGTACTGCAGAATAATTGTGTCTTAAGTGTGGCTGTGTATTTAGCTTTAACTCTTACCTTTGTTGCAGTATGTCCACTTGCTCCATGGGGGCGTGAAGGATATTTGTCCCTCATAGCAGGTAGCCAGGTGGCCTGACATCGTTTGGCAAAGGAGCAGACATCCAGAATACCCACAGCGCACCCACATACACCCAGTTCATCCTCCAGAACCAAGCTGTACTCTGGGCACAAGGCCAGAGACGCACCTAGACACCTGAAACACAAACATACAACAGAAAGAGGCTGATATTTCTCATATACCTCACTGATTTTTCAGGACCGAGAAACATTAAGGCATTACGTTTTAGTACAACCTCATGTTTTTCTTGTATTTTCTTACAGAATGTGTTTTCCCTTTATATACAGTACCACTCAAAAGTTTGGGGTTTCTTATAAGTTTAGTAAGTCTCTTATACTTGCCCACTGTATTTATTTAATCAAAAATACAGTAAAGCAGTAATGTTGTGAAATATTATTAAAATCTAAAATTAATATTTTATTTTAATATATTTTGAAATGAAATGTATTCCTGCTGAATGTTCAGCAGCCATTATTCCAGTCTTCAGTGTCACATACATTTTTTTTGTAACATTATAAATGTCTTTATTGTCACGTTATCTCAGGAAATCAGTGACCGCTATGAGAAGATATAATTTCGTGCTCAGATGGAGGCATCTACTGAACAATAAAAGACAGAACATTTTATATAGGTGCTGTGATAATGCTTGAGAGGAATTCTTGCCTGTCCCCAATAAAATCTGGATGGGAGATGGCTGCGTCCTGGCTCCCTTTACCCCTCTGATGCAACTGAAGCACCATTCGGTACAGCTCCACCTAGAGTTGTGGAAAAAACAATGATTAGAGTCATAAATGTATAATGAGATGTGAATCAATGGGTTAACAACTGTGCTTGAGTCACCTTGTCTTTTTGCTGGAATGGCCGTATATTATAAAGTCGAGAGGTGGGGAACAGAGGGGGAGGGTGACTGAACAACTCACTGCTGGTCCCCACAGGCAGAAGCATCTGATTCACAGAGGCAGACAAAACAAGAACAAGGCAGGAAAAGATAAAGGAGACTGTGAAAAAACTACAGCAAATTAATCTGGCAATTTATCTTAATTTAATGAAATTCATAACTGAATTTTAAACTGAATCATTAATTATATAATTCCTACCTGCACCTCTCCAGATAGTCCCCCTTTAAACACCCATGGCTCCGCCTCCACAACATGGAGCTCCGCCCCTGAGGAAGCTCCACACCCTGTGAACAATCCCAAACATCAAGAGTATCAATCCACTGCAGGAACCAGTAGGTTTGTACAAATCAATCAATTGTGTTATTTGAATATGCATATATTAATTTGATGTATTTCAATTGGTTACAAGACATGTACAAGTGTCTTGTGTGTTTGGTACTACTAATGTGACATGTTTTGATGCATCATATCTGAATATACACTACTCTTCAAAAGTTATTTTAATCTTTTTGAATAAAGTCTCTTATGCTTGCCAAGGCTGCATTTATTTGATCGAGTATTGAGTAGTATTGTGAAATATTACAATTTAAAATAACTTTTTTCTACTTTAAAATATTTTAAAATTAAATTTATTCATGTGATTGCAAAGCTGCATTTTCAGCAGCCATTACTCCAGTCTTTAGTGTCAAATTCTGATATTTTGATTTAGTGCTGAAGAAACATTTCTTATCATTATCAATGTTGAAAACTTGTGCTGCTGAATACTTTTGTGGAAACTGTGATAACTGTTTTTCAGGATTCTTTGATGAATATAAAATTCAGAAGAACAACATTTATTTGAAGTAGAAATATATCTTAGAATTATGCTACAATGTATAGGTGCATCGTGCATGTTTAACACTCACAGTGGAAGCAGTTCTTCCAGGAGCCAAGTGGAGAACCTTCATGCAGTATACGACCCTCTGTGAAAGAAAATATGCTTGTGAGAAGATGGGAGATGAGTTCATTCATTTTTTATTAATCACAGTGGGGGAAAAGACATTACATGACAAGACAAATCATCCATACTGTCGCTCTCACCTAGCCAACAGATGAAAGCCTTGGCTACCAGCAGGGTGTTTCTCAGGTCCCAGATGTAAGGGTAAAGGTCGTAGAGAAGAGCCCTATTGATGCTGTTCACAACAGCACTGTGCAGTAATGCCACATCATCACACGCAGCCAGGAAACGGCCAGCACGGTCCCGCCATTCCTCTACCTGAGAAAGCAAGAGAAACATTAATAAAATGTTTGTCCATAATCCATGTTGAACCATAACTATAATTTCAACAGCATCCGCTTTATTTAAAACAGATGAAAATGGCACCTGAATCAGTAGTAAATATATTTAATAGAAAGGATGTTTTGACCTTCTGTGACGAGACCTTCTTGCCGTTGCCATTGACACTGACGCAGTGACAGTTGGCTTTGAGCCACGTGAGGTCCTGCAGCAGATTCTGAGCGGGTGGTCCGTGTTCGTGCGGCAGATAGTACAGGCCTACAAGCAGCCGGACCTGGGCCTCGCTGAGAGGAATGCTTCCAGAACACAGTCCTCTTCTAGGCGTCTTTTCATGGCTGAAGATCCTGGAGACCTGGTTCTCCCCATCTTTCAGATCCTGGCTCATAACAGGGTCTGCTGGGATTTCATCGCTAGCAAGAGCTCCTGTGCTCTGGGAAGAGGTCATGGGACATTTAGGCTGGGCTCCATGTTGATTGTCTGAGCTATCGGAGGACTTTGATTTAACAGAGAGCATTGAGGGCTTGAGGTCTGTTGGCCTCACCTGACGTCCTAAAAGAAACAGTGAGCAATAATCTAAAAATAAACTTTTATTCATGAAAATTAGAAATGTTGCCTTTGCAACTAGCTGAAATAAAATAAGTTAAAGTACCAAAATTGGTGAAACTAACACTGAAATAAAAATTAAAGCGCAAGAGAAATATATTAAAAAATTTTAAAAAATAAAAATACAATACAAATAAAAAAAACAAGCGTGCATGAAATTACTAAAACTTAAGCTAAAATTAAAATTAAAACTGAAAATATAAAAATAAAAGCTAGTTCAAATTTATTAATAAATACCATAATAATATATAAATAACAAAAAAAATCATATAATGTTTTTAGTCATTATAACATTTTATGAAATAAATAAAAAGCTAAATATATTTAATGTACATAAATCACTTTTCAAATGTACAAATAAATAGATGTTTTTAGGATGCTGTACCAGGCTGTAGAGGAAGGCTGAGCTCCTTCATCCAGTCTTGCAGGGCAGCTGACAACACTCTATCCACACTATAGGCCTCTTCATCACCTACAGAGGTCATACTGGGTCAGCAAGGGGCAGAATGTTCCTCTGTAATCCTATGGAGTGCTACTGTATGTTTGTTCATTCAGAGTTTAAAAACTTTACTTTTTTACATTTATAAATTTGGCAGATGCTTTTATCCAAAACACCTTACATTCCATTCAAGATATATATTTTAACAGATTATGCTTGCCCTGGGAATCGATCTCATAATCTTGACATTTCTATATCCATACTACAATATTTAAGTTTCTCTCTGTTCTCATTCCACTCTATCCTCCATTCTGCTTTCACCTTTCCCCTCCTCTTTTCCTTCTTTATACCAGCTTCCAAGGGTATGCAGAGGGATGAAATTGGCTTCAAATTCGCAGTTTGGATTTAGCAGCAGACCCCTCAGATGGGCCCTAAGTCTGGGGGGGCGGCCCTTAAAAGGCCCCAGGAAGACACGTCGGGAGTCATAATCATTAGCATGGAGGTTATCCCAAATGAGGGGTGGCCGTCGAAGCACCGACTGGACCTCAGCTAGTGATTCAGGACTCAGTTCCCGTGATATCACCTTATTCCCTATAGGAGAGTGATGACCAAATATGTGAATGTTAGAAATGTGGTTTCTGTACAAACTGACACGGAGTGTGAATTTTTAAAGGGCACGTGGAAAATGTCCCTCACCGGTCCAGATGACAGAGATGCCAGGGAGAAGATCCTCCCCAATAGTCAGCAGGTAGGGAGACTTTGACACGCTAGGAGTGCAGAAAGAACTACAGTACTCTAGAGAGAAAAGAAATAACAGCACAGTACTGTTTGGGGGAAAGAAGGACAGAACAATTTAAGAAAAGACAGAGAATAATGATGAGGTTTTAAGACAGGAAGATCAGTGTCAGATCATCCAAAATGTAGATAAGTTTGTTTCGTTATTGAAACGGATTTGGAGAAATTTAGCATTACATCACTTGCTCACCAATGGATCCTCTGCAGTGAATGGGTGCCGTGAGAATGAGAGTCCAAACAGCTGATAAAAGCATCACAATAATCCACAGGTAATCCACATGACTCCAGTTCATCAAATAACATCTTGTAAAGTAAAAGCTGCATGTTTGTAATAAACAAATCCATCATTAAGGCATTTTTAACTTCAAATCGTTGCTTCCTCAAGTCTGAATCAGGAGAGTAATATATACAGATCAAGCACTGCTCATAAGCAAAAACAGTACAAAACAGTTGTAAACAAATATGCTGGTGAATTTTGATGTGAGAGGAAAAAAGGGGATGGACGTTTTCCTCGAGGAGGAATTAGTATAGATTATGGATTTATGGATTATGGATATTTTGGCCAGAAGCTGTTGTTTAAAGTTAGATACCTCAATGATGGATTTGTTTCTTACACACAGATGTTAATTGATGGACTGGAGACATGTGAATTACTTGTGGATTACTGTGATGTTTTTATCAGCTGTTTGGGCTCTCATTCTGATGGCACCCATTCACTGCAGAGGATCCATTGATGAGTAAGTGATGTAATGCTACATTTTTCCAAATCTGTTTGGATTTTTGAAGTATTCCTTTAAGGTAGCATTAAGTAAATGTGTCACTCCATTAAACAGAATTTTATTCTGTAATGAACTAGGCTTGATATATTTATGCATTAGCTTACCAGTGGGACAGAATAGGAAGACAGGTGGTTCCCCCAGGAAATGGAAGATCTCATTGGCCACGGTGACCTGGGCATGAGCGAATGAGGAAAAGGCCTCTGTATCTGACTGGCACATGGAGTGATCAATGTCATCGAATAGGAGGGCAAAAGCCTGACAGCCCAGGTCTGACACCTAGTGGTGAAATGAAAGAAAATAAGGTGTTCATGAACACATTTTCGTCAAACAGTACAACGGTTGTGCAAATGTGCTTTCATCACAAGAAAGCAAGATAAAAATGAGATCGAGATGAAGTGAGTTTGCTTACCTGTCTGAGTTTGCGTTTAAGCAGTGTGAGGTCACAAGAGCTGGAGAAGACGATGTCCTGACCCGGAGAAAGAGCATATACAAATGCCAGACCCCTCGACTCTGCCTCACATACCAAAGCTTTCAACTGAGCTGGACACAGTGAGAGAAAGATGGAGAGAGAATGAAAAAGTGAAAGGTTTTCAGATGTGATACGGCCCTAAAAAACAATGACAGAAATATACAAATGGGCAATGTCGCAATGAGTAAAAGCTAACATCTCAAATACAGCACCTTTACGATACTAGAATCACACTATATTATAACAATACTTATGAGTCATTATTTATTATACTGAATGCAGGCAAAAATGTATCATTTTGTATAGTTAATTATCTGAAAAAGGCATTCTGGTTAAAATATGAAAGCCTAACACAGCAGCAGCTCACACCAATAACCAAATGGTATATAATGGCACCTAATTTAATACAATCATGTTTGTATAATAATATGATTAGGTGCAATTTAGAAATTATATTCTTAGAAATACATCTTAACAATCTCTGCTAAAATGACCAAGCATTTATATTCTGATTGCTCAGATTATGTTTTCTAGATGTGGATATTTTTGGGCAGTAATAATAATGAAAGCCTTTAGCTTTAAATAGATAAGTTAATGAAATTAAAATAGACAGATTAAATAAACACTTTAACCCCGTGCTTCTATATACTATAATCTGAATAAATATTGGGACATATACAGTGCTCTATAAAACACATACCCTCTTCCTCTGCTGAATAAACCTCCCTCCATAGTAACCTGTGCTTCAGATCATCTTTAGGACCATACAGATATGTGTTCAAATTCCACAGCTGCATCCTGAAAGGGACAATCAGTATCAGTTGCATTTCAGGATTTTTAAAATGGATTTTCTATCATGTTTTGAGAATATTGTGAAAGAAGAGCACAAGACACAGCAGGGAGAAAGAGAGAGAGAGAGGCAGGCAGAAAATAGAGACATACATTGATCTTGCATCATTATAATATAAGAGGTCACATTTCCTGCAGAGAATGAGTCTGACTTTAACATCAGCAAAGGGTCGATTCCTCTGCAGAGGAAAAAAGTGAATGGTCTGTCCCTCTGTGAATTTCAACTTATTTATAAAGAAAAACTGCATGCAGTGCATTATTTAATTGTTGTTTAAATATTAAATAAAGATCATGAATACTGCACAAAATGTGCACTATTACCAATAAAGAGTTTTAACTTGAACTTTCAAGTCCCATGGGATGATTTTTCAACCAACTCATTTTTGGGAGTCTTGAGAACTTCTTACCACGCTTTTATATTTTATTTCTGCGATTTTTTTTAAATGGCTTTAAGATTTTATTGTTTTATCCATGCCCTATATTATTTAATTCTTTAAACCCAAATCTTAAAAGGCAAAATCTATAATAAAATATTACATTTTAACAATCTACATAAGGAGTGGAGTAATCATTTTGCAATTTTCCCTTTAAAAATATAAAAAGTTATCATAATTGGCAACCATTCCACAGTGTAAAATAGCAAATAAAAAAGAAAACTAGCATGAAAACTAGTGTTAAAAGTGTTATAGGAGAGATTCTTTTCTAATACTCAACAAGACAAGTACTCTAGAGTACTATGATCTGTAAGATGACTGTTTCAGAGTGACATCTTTGCCTACAATAGAATGAGTGTGTCTGTGTGTCTCATGAGAAAAGCAGACTCCCTAAATAGATTGAAGCTGAGTTAGTGCATGTCTAAAATATTAAAGAACCTCCTTAAAGGTTAACCTCAAGCAAGCGTGCGCACACACTCACTCACTCACACACACAAAGCTCATTTTGGTTCTCTCCCTCGCCAACCTATTTAAAATGCTAATGCACAGATAGAATCTATCGTTCATTCTTTTTCTCCCTCTTCCTCCCCCACTTCCTTTCTCTCCTCCTTCTCTCCCTTCATCTACTGCATCAGTCGTGAAGCAGTCGTTTCACTCTCACTCAAGCGTGTAAAAGTTCTCATCCCCCTTCTTTCGCCTGCACTATTAATCTTTTCATCCAGGGCTTTGGAGTTTGGTCCAGTGCCTCTATCACTTGTGTGTGTGGGTGGGTAGGATACTCTCTCGCTTCTCTCCTTTCTTCCTGTGCAGATGGATTCCCACACACTCTAATTTCTGTCATGTCTGATCCATTGTACATTAAAGTAAATTCTACTGATTTGGACGTCACAACCCAGGGCATCAGTCAGAACAGGTTGAAATCAGTAATACCTTAAATAGTATGCCATATGTCGTGTTTAAAAAATGTGTTTACGAAGAAGTCATAGAAATATTTAGCTGTATTGCACATAAAATATTTACTTTCTATCAAAGAATAACAAATGGGAAAGAATGAATCAATCAATCACAATCAATTATTCATTATTAATATATTTTTTAAGTTTAAGAAAATAAGAAGCTGTACTAAGCTTAAAGGGAAGAGAACTCCAGTTTTGCAGATCAAATCTACTAGTTCATGCCAGCTCACTGAGTAAAGTTCATTAGTGCTGCAGCAGAGAGCTTGAAACTACTTTATGGCTGAAAGGGAGCAGGGACTCAATACAGGACAGCAACAAATACTTGTTTTAAATGCTGATGTGTCAGTTTCACCACCAGGCAACTTAGCTAGATAAACCAGGAAGACCTCCTAGGTTAACCAGATTCAATTCAAGTTTATTTGTTTTGTTGGAAACCATAATGGAAACCAGCTAGACAAGCACTAAATCAGCCTGAACCATGGAAAGATGGTGTTTTCAGCAGGGATATCTCAAAAAGTTCACCTCAAAATGAACATTCTCTAAATATTTACTCACCCTCAAGCCATCCAAGATGTAGATGAGTTTGTTTCATCACTGAAACAGATTTGGAGAAGTTTAACATTACATTACTTGCTGACAAGTGGATCGTCTGCAGTGAATGGATGCCGTGAGAATGAGAGTCCAAACAGCAGATAAAACATCACAATAATCGAGATGGTCCTCACTGCAGAACACAAGATCCAGGGGGCGAGGTTGGATCCAGATCCAACTCCTCCCACCTTACATATATGTCTCCACCCCCTGATCCCTAAACCCACCCATCTCCACCCCTAAACCTACCATATCCACCCCCTAGATGTGGATCCAACCCCTCCCCCTGGATCTTTGTTTTGCAGTGAGGAGCTACTGCAATAATCCACAAATAATCCACATGACTCCAGTGCATCAAATCATGTCTTGTGAAGTGAAAAGCTGTGTGTTTGTAATAAATCCATTATTAAGGCATTTTAACTTTAAACCATTTCTTTTTTGCCAAAATGCCATAATCCATAATAACACTTCCTTGAAAAAGTCCATCCCCTATTGTCCTCTCACATCAAACCCCACTGACATATTTGTTTAGAACTGTTTCGGACTGTTTTTGCTAGTAAATGGTGCTTGATCTGTGCACATTTTTCTCCTGATTCAGAAGAGTGGAGTAGGGGCGTGTTTGTTTTGGTGATTTCAAATATCAACATTGGCTACCAGAAATCACTTACTCTGCCTTTAATTAAAGAAAAAGTTAAAACATCCTAATGATGGATTTGTTTATTACAAATATGGATTGTAGTTGTGTGGATTACTTGTGGATTATTGTGATGCTTTTATCAGCTGTTGCTCATTCTGATGGCACCCATTCACTGCATCCATTGATGTGCAAATTATGTAATGGTAAATTTCTCCAAATCTTTTGCAATAAAGAAACAAACTCATCTATTCCTTGGATGGCTTGAGGGTGAGTACATTTTCAGCAAATTGCCATTTTAGGGTGAACTATTCCTTTAAGAACATAATATATCAAATAATAATAATTTAATAATAATAATAATATAACTTTTCCCATGCTCTTATTCAAAATGAACTTGTTCCTTGCCACTGATTTCACCATGGCTTATGTATGAAGATGTGTTAAAGTATGGCTCAGTGGAGTCATGCTGGCAGTAGTGTCCAGTCATTAGTCATAAAAAAGCCATTTGTCTCTCTGCCTACACAACTTTACACCTCTGCAAGGCACCAGCTGCTCTGTGCTGCCCCCTGGGCTGCCATACTGTACTGCTCTGATACCACAATGTTGTCAACATGATCCGAAAAAATATCCCATTCTACATTACATACTGTACATTACATTACATAACTCCAACACCTATAAAATGTATAATTTTGTGTCCCTTTAGTAATACAAATGCATATAAAGAGCAATCTCATCATCCCATTTAACAGTGTGTGTATTCGCTGATCCCATACTCACCACTGAAATAGTACCTTCCTTTGTTCCATTGACCAGGGTCTCCCATAGAAACCTAAGGAGTAGAATATACAGATATAACACATATATAACACATGCAGACACACACGTGATTATTTTTCTCCGTTTACACAAGGCAGCATTTCATAACCATCACAAAGCTTCAGTATTTCTGATCTCTTTCACCTCCTCTTCACTGCAACCCACTCAGATTTTGGGCAGACTCTGAATTATGGGCTTGGTGCTTTCATACTATACTGGACCAGTTACTGTATACAATATCAGTCAGGGCCATCGCCAGGAGTGAGCACTGAGAAGCAGTGCAAGATTATATGTATCAAAGCTTTGTTTGAGGCACTCTGTGAACTGCATAGTTTTTAGAGTTGTCTATACAAAGTCTATACTTATATTCTGCTATTTTTACAGTGTTTCCAGTACAACTTTTCACTGAGACTGCCATGGCACTACTTAAATTCACTCACATCATATATATATAATATATTTAATATTTATTAAATTATTGTAGCATTAAAAACAAGTTAATCATCTTACATCCATATCCACAATTCATCCATCACATTCAATGGATTTTTTTTTTTTACTTTCAAAAACTTTATAGAATTTGGCACTGACAGTCTTTGCGACCGCTCATCATTATGCTATTCTAGCATTCTAGGATTAGATTTTGCTGCATTAGTGGTTGGTTATTATTTATTATTCATGCTGGCTGCCATGCTGATGGAAAAACAAACCACACATATATTCCTGCTTGATTCACTTTAGTAATTATGAATATGATGTGACAGGCCCTATTGGTATATAAATCAATAACAATACCAATAACAAATTTACATACATTTATATGGAAAGATTTTGTATAGAATGTATGGCTCTGGCCATCAGCATGAGAACATTTAGAAACTCAATGTATTTCTTACTTAACAGCAGTCTGGCTTTACTAACATGTTATAATGTAGTTATTGCTGGTGTGGTTCTTCAAGTCAAGAAGTCCATTTTTATTTGTATATTTATTTTTACTATATAAATTGGCTGCATATACAAAATCGCATACTGTTTTGTAGGTACTTAATTTTGTTTGAAACTTAAAGTGATAGTTCACCCAAAAATGAAAATTACCCCATGATTTACTCACCCTCAAGCCATTATATATAACTTTTTTCTTCTTTCAGACGAATACAGTCGGAGTTATATTAAGAAATTTCCAAGCTTTATAATGGCAGTAAATGGGGGTTGAGATTTTGAAGCCCAAAAAAGTGCGTCCATCCATCATAAAAAGTACTCCACACGGCTCAGGGGGGTTAATAAAGACCTTCTGAAGTGAATCAATGCATTTGTGTACGTAAAACATCCATATTTAAAACTTTATAAACCATAATCTATAGCTTACTCACGCTAACTGTTGTCCGTGTGTTCACTAGAGAGTGGCATTCCAGCGGATGATGTAGGATGTCGGATGTCGGATGTAGGCGCTAAAGCTGCGGTGAGAATATGCTAGTCTCACGAGAACCAAGTTTTGTTTACAGCAAAGGAAAACCAGTCTCCTCTTGGCTTATATCGAAATCCTCTGACATTTTTCTTTACAAATCCTCGTTTTGTACTTCTACTTCATGATCGGTGTTTTGTTTTGCTCTCTCCTCTACACTTCCACGTTCGTCACTTCTCACCGGAGCTTACGCTACGCCTACGTCATACGCTGGAATGCCACTCTCTCCTGAACACCCATATGATAGTTAGCGGAAACTAGAGATTACGGTTTTAAATATGGATATTTTTCTTACAAAAACGCATTGCTTTGCTTCAGAAGGCCTTTATTAACCCCTTGGAGCCATGTGGAGCGCTTTTTATGATTGAACCTAAAAATCTCAACTCACTGCCATTATAAAGCTTGGAAGAGCCAGGACATTTTTTTATATAACTCCGATAGTATTCATCTGAAAAGAATAAAGTCATATACACCTGGCTTGAGGGTGAGTAAATCATAGGTAATTTTTATTTTTTGGTGAGCTATCACTTTTAACTTCATGACTGTTAAAAAGTATGTTATATATATAGTATGAATATAGGAAGTATGATTGAAATTTGGATATACTACATTTGTCATGTTTTTGCTGTCACATAAAAAATCAGTTGCGGTGCTTCACTGCCATTCACAACTCCTCTCCCATGATGCTGTCTAGTGTCTAGTGTCAGGCACTTTTCCAATACTATGAATTCTAGGCCTAATGGTTAGAGAGTTGGACTTGTAACCCAAAGGACTTGGGTTTGAGTCGGGTACCGGCAGGGATTGTAGGTGGGGGAGTGTAGCAAAAATGTGCCGCAACAAAAATGGCTGCCCACCATTTGGATGGGTTAAATGCAGAGCACAAATTCTGAGAATGGGACACCATACTTGGCTACACGTCACGTCACTTTCACTTTCATTCTAAATACACAACTGTTTCAAGGCAACTTTACAAAAAAACATGATATTAATGTTTATGATCTTCCTATTTTCATGTGTTATAGATGCATCGGTCGTGCGTATGTGGGGTAAAGCAGTGCTGTTTTATCATACTAGATACATTTGAAAGTTCTACTCTGTGCGGTCGTCACCTGTCTATTAAAACACGTAACATATTAAAGCACTTTGGTGTTTTCATGTTTTCTACAAAACAAAACCGGAAATCGAGGGGTTATGACGTCATTGGCAGGCGACACAATGACACTATAGATACGGTCCGTGTCACTAGTTAAAATTGCTTATTTCTCTGGATTTAAACATTCTTCGAAACATTTGGGATAATGTAAGTACACAAGTCAGCAAAATATATAACACTGTTCTAGTGGTTTTGGGATATTTTAATAAAAAAATCTTACATATTGTGCCTTTAACAGATTAGAGTTGAGCGATAATATTAGTTTACATTTTGCAACGATATAAACAATCAAACTGTTGAAATTTGCTATAGTATATATACAGTATATATATATCTTTATATATATATATATCTTTATATATATATATATATATATAGTTGACAGTTTGTAAACGATCACATAGCTGAGATTTGTTATATAGTATGTTTGACTTTACATGAGTGTTCTGTATGTATGAGAGTAAAGTTAGATTTACTTATAAATTATAAAGTGTGTCTCTCCTCTTCTCCTTCCCAAATGTTCTAGCGACGACCCTGATATTGGATATTCATGCCAGTGTGGTCCTAAAGTTTGCAGCTGTAGGACAGAAGTGGGTCAGTAAGAGAAAGCTGCTGGAATCCAGCAGGGTGACATTTCCACAGAAGAAAAAAGACAAATCATCCGCCGAGCCAATATTGTGACACTGAGCTACAAACAAGAGTAAGGCCAATTAGGAGATATGCACAACATGCGTGTATGTGCACTGGGGACGGAAATGTGTGTGTAAGTGTGAGTGTGTGTCTTATGGTTTGGCCAGCTGCTTCCTATCACACTCCAGTATAAATATGCAAATACATACCCAGGATGCTCTAGGCGCCTTAATAAGATGAATTGCCCTACTAGCCCATAAATTAGAAATGGGTTATTTTACAGGCTAATTATATGTGTCTTTATAGCTTGGTGCTTCTTTTTTCCGTAAATAATTTTAGTAAATAACGGTTTGAAGATACATAACCGCAGGTTAAGTTAAAAATGCTATTTAACGAATAAGCCTCATTTATTTGGTCGTATCTGTGGCTCCCACCCAAGCATCCAGATAAATAATGTGTGCGTAAACTTACCCTCAACAACACCGCATAAAAACTCGTGTCGCCCCTCCATCATCGTTGTGATTGTCTATCGGGATGTTCAGGATGCGGATGCTTCAGTCATCCGGACTTAAATCTTCAGCCGCGCATCCTTCCCTCCGACACACACAGAGCGCTTGAACTGAAGCCGCAAGCCATGGAGATACAGAAGAATTGCCTTTATTAATGCTGTTCTGTGTTGTTTGTTCAATAATCAAACAGTGGTAAACTGTCAAACGTTGATGTTTCTTGTCTGTCAGCTCGGTTCTGCCTCCTCCTGGCTGTTCGCTCAGTGCACTCTACGCAGTGTTGCCAGATATCACAAGACAAGCTGTCAAATTGCTCCAATAAGTGGTTAGATAAAAAATAAAGAAAACAATCCCCCAAAAAATAAGTACTTAATTTCGTCATTTAACTTCAAATTAATCATAGAAAATATTAAAACGTTGATTAAAACAGATAAAACAAAAATGTTAAAAAGCAACAAAATACAACAAAATGTTAAAATAACGTTTTCATTTCACATAACTGACCATCTCAATTAGTCTCATCTATGAGAAAAGCTTGAACAGTAAATAGTGGTTGATCGCAATGACATTTTAACTGTTTTATCAATGTTTTATTGTTTTAAAACCCATTCACACAAAAAACAATAACTTTAAGGATAACTATAAGAATAACGATAACTATATTAGCAGCCACATCAAAGGATAATAACATTCTGTTTTATTATAAGAGTTGCAGTTATGTCATCTGCTTCTTAACGTGCTGGAGTTTATTAAAACGCGTCGAAAATTAATTCTGAAAGTTATTCAAACCACATTATTCCAATAATAATGAGTCCAATAAGTCCAATAAAACTTGCATTAGCCCGCCCATTATTATAAGAGACTTTATGAAGAAAAAAATCCATATTAGCTTATAATATGCGGACATGGCAACACTGACTCCAGTAGAGCATCTTGCGCCATCTAGCGGTCAGCGTGTATCATATCAACACACATTACAAACTGCTGTTTACAATTGAATTTTCCAAAATAAAACTGAACCACGCTTAATTATCAATCGCGTACGCGCGGAGTTAGAAATAAATGATCAAAATAAACTTTTATACTTAGGCCTATATGTTAAGAATCCCTCTGGCTCCTACAGTGAATGTTATGTGTGGTTGTCTTGGTTACACGGTGCAACCAAGCGTGGGAAAGAGCGCTTGGACTATGATTCGTTAGGCTTCATTAGTCTAGTAGTAAATACAGTCATGGCCAAAAGTTTAAACGTGCCCTTTAACGAATAAATCTCATGTATCTCTTTGGTCGTATCTGTGGCTCCCACCCAAGCACCCAGATAAATGATGTTTCCTAAACTTACCCTCAACAACACCGCATAAAAACTCGTGTCGCCCCTCCATCATCGTTGTGATTGTCTATCGGGATGTTCAGGATGCGGATGCTTCAGTCATCCGGACTTAAATCTTCAGCCGCGCATCCTCCCCTCCGACACACACAGAGCGCTTGAACTGAAGCCGCAAGCCATGGAGATACAGAAGAATTGCCTTTATTAATGCTGTTCTGTGTTGTTTGTTCAATAATCAAACAGTGGTAAACTGTCAAACGTTGATGTTTCTTGTCTGTCAGCTCGGTTCTGCCTCCTCCTGACTGTTCGCTCAGTGCACTCTACGCAGTGTTGCCAGATATCACAAGACAAGCTGTCAAATTGCTCCAATAGTGGTTATATTAAAGATTAAACAATCCCCCAAAAAATAAGTACTTAATTTCGTCATTTAACTTCAAATTAATCATAGAAAATATTAAAACGTTGATTAAAGATCATTACATTGAAATTTTGGATCCGTGGCCAGGCAACTCCCCGGATCTCAATCCCATAGAGAACCTGTGGTCAGTCCTCAAAAGGCGAGTGGACAAGCAGAAGCCCACAAATTGTGATCAACTCCAAGAACTATTAAGGCAAGAATGGATCGCCATCAGTCAGAATTTTGCCCAGAAGCTAATATCCAGCATGCCAGAGCGAATTGCAGAGGTTATGAAGAGCAAGGGTCAATACTGTAAATATTGACTCATTATATTTTTTTGCCAATAAAAGCCTTTAAAACTTATGATATGCTAATCATTGTTTTTCAGTATACCATAGAAACATGTGGAAAAATAATCTACAAATACTGAAGCAGCAAACTTTGAAAAAAACACAATTTATGTACATTAGATTTCCATTTGTCGTTATAAGTGTGCTTTATGCGAGTTAACAGCTTGTCTAAGAGGATTCAGGATGTCATCAAAAGAGAAAAGCGAGTCCAATAGCTAGGGGCACATAAACGCACGGGCTTTAAGGGTCAGAAGCCCAGGGGACTATACTTGGGAGGGGCCTACTGGCTGCTGGGAAATTATATTTTTCAAATAATTATTTGTATACATGGACAATGTATAAGCTATATGTAATGTATATGGATGTTTATACACTGGTGAAGATGTGATCCTGCCCTGTTCTATCAAGCCCAACACCAGTGCTGTGAATATGAGAGTGGAATGGTTTAGACTTGACTTTCAAGACTCAATAGTGTATCTCTATGAAAATCGTGAAAACTAAATCACGAAGCAGAATCAGTACTTCAGAGGGAGAACAGCACTGTTCCAAGAAGAACTACAGAATGGAAACGCATTACTCAAACTCTCATCAGTCCAAGTCTCTGATGAAGGAGTTTACAAGTGTTTATTGAGTCCAACTCCTGGTATGATGACATCACTGTTCGTGTTGATGTTGGAGGTGAGAAGACTAATAACTAAGCCTAGAAATTGTGTTTTTTATAGCAAGAAATTGACACAAAAAAGAGGAAAAACTTGCTCTCTCAGAAATGTTCTCTCTGATCTACAGTGCTTTTGAAATCAAAAGTACAGACAATATACTGTACAAGTACAATGAATGAATTATTTGTATCCTTGATCTCTGCAGCTATAGGAACTTATCCACTGATCATTGTAGATGAGTTTGATCATTCAGGAGGGCTTCGTCTGCTATGTGAATGTGAAGATTGGAACCCTAAACCTGAGCTTCAATGGCTGGACAGTAAAGGAGAGAATTTGACTTCTGATACTGAAGAAACACACAAAGATGCAAAGTGCTACAATGTGAAACACAGGATCACTGTGCATAACAGTGAGACCAAGTATCACTGCAGAGTCAAACGGAGACATCATATGCTGCAAATGGACATCGTTGTCTCAAGTAAGTATGATTTGGGTAGTTTATCATTCTCAATTTTTTTTTCCAAGGTAATGTGAGGCAGTCGTAATGATTCAGAATGAATTATGATTTAATCACAGATTTGCAAATTTATTGTAGATGTTTTAGTACAGAAAATACACTGTTTGCCTAAGTTTATGTTTCTTTATCATTTATATATATATATATATATATAT